GTTAGTACGTCATATGCTTCGTTGATCTGATTGGTTTATTTGGCCCGTCTATCACCAACATAGGCCAATCAGCTAACCAGTATTTTCGCCCCTTGCCGAAATTACTTCAACGGAAGGTTTCCAGATGGATTTGCTGCGCATATCCATCTGGTGGAGTCAGATTAAGGTGTTGCAGCAAGCTATACAAAGTTACTAAGTTAAATTGTTTTTTTAATCACCCAGCTGGCTTCCAGAATGAATTTAACTAATCTTAACAGGCTGTTTTATATTAAATAACTGTTTTTTTTTGTCTTTTTGGCACCTTGTTTTAACTATTGAGCCGATATGACAAGAGAATTTCTCCACTGTTAGATCAATTAGTCTATCTTATCTTGAAAATGAAGAGTGCAAGTGTTGATTCCTATTACTCACATGAGATCTGGTCTGTATCTGTGAATGAGGGCACACAGCGCCAAGCCGCTCTTCCATGACATAGTCAGGTCCGTGACGCTGACGTTCCTATATCCTTCTGTCTGCCTCTGGCACCAGTTGAGCAGTTTACTGGACCGAGCTATCGATTCTTTGGTGAAGTAAAGAAAAAAAAAAAAAAAACAGTTAATTACACAATATTAAATGCTGAAGATAAAGTGCTGAGTTAAGAAGCAGCATTAAAACTTGAAAAGCAATATAATCAGCACAACTTCCATGTCACTGGGCAAAATCATTCTACTGTGTTTTTGGTGTTAGTAATTACCAACTCTAATATAAAGAATTCCATTGCTTTAAGGGGGAAATGGATGCAAACAGGAAGTTAGACAGTAAAAACCAAACTGGGATCTTTAAAACAGGCTGTTGAGTATATTCAGGAAGATCAGATGGCAGCATATCTGACTGGGTTAGTGTGTAAAAGGAAACTCCAGCTCATCAACAAATGTTCTAACATTCAAATGTTACCTTCATGTTGCGATCAATGCAAGGCAGGTAGGATTTTAAATTGTTAGAACTTTAGAAAACCTGGAGGAGCAACACCATGCATTTGGACTTTACCTTGAAACTGCTTGTCAAGCAGGTAATTGTCTGGAGTGAAAATACAGCCATGTATTATCAGACTGGATCAAACACCAATATTTACATTTAGTTAGCATGGTTTTCCTGAACTTTGCTTGTAAGACTCTTTCCTTCCATCGCGTCACAAAAAAGATGGTTATGATTGAACAATAATTAACACTGCGGTACAATTTGTAGCAGTGTTGTCTTGGAGAAACAAGATCCTTGGTTTGAATCATGGTCTGAATTTTTATAATAAGATCCAATAAATGAGGAGGGTGCTAAACACGTATCATTCTCTTTAATCTTGGCTCCCCTCTGATATTGAGCCTGAACAAGTCATAGGTTGCAGGAAACAGGGATTAGGGTCATATAAAAAATAAATATAAATACAAACCATTCCTGGCCAACTTTGGCGTTGACGAGTTGATGACATTCTCAATTTCAATGCGGATTTCCCTGCCCTCTCCTGTATCAAAGAGGTGTCGCACCTAAAACACAAAACATTATGTGTATTTGGTACTAAAATTCCCCTTAAATGTGAAACACTGTATTTGGGTGATGTTCCTGTAACAAATTGGAATAACAATGATAAAAGATTACTTGGTATGTTACTTATTGCAAGTAAAAAAGCCATCACAAGAAAGTGGCTGAGAGTGAAATCTCCAACTATTGAGGATTGGATCAATATAATCCAAGAAATTTATGTCAAGGAAAAGTTGTAATTTTCCCTCAAGATTCAAAAGGACATGTTTTATAAAATTTGGACTAAATGGACTGAGTACGTAAAACCCTTACGGTCAGATTTTTTATGAATGATACGTTTCTGAACTAAAAACCTTGTCTTGTGAATATTGGCATGCTTCCCATATATGTTTATGATTGTGTTTATATATGTCTTGATACTGTGAAAACGTTTAAAAATAAAAATTATTTTAAAAAAAAATAAAACATTATGATTACATCTCATGATAGACTCCTGATATACTTCATTGCTGAGATTTCAATCCTTTTCTAGTTGTTTTACAACAGTGAAAAAAAGTTCTCAACTCACAGCATGATGCTGCCACCACTAAACAAGGGGGATAATGAGTTTAAGTAAGATTAAATATGAATTGTATTATTCCTGAGATGAAACTTGTTTTGGAGCAAATAGAGAACCAATACGGAAAAAAAAACATCTATAGTACAAACTTCTCAGAATAGAAATACAGTGACTATTTTGCAAACAAGCTCAAAATGCTGAATTTCACTTTAATACTGACACACAAACTTATCATTGGACTAATTCAGTCCTTAAACAAGTAACCTAATTAATCAATTTTTTAAATAATTGTCAACAAATTTAGAAATCAAATAATCATAAACTGGAGTAAGCAGTCTCCACACCACATCATTTGTTGAAATAAAAATCCAGTCAATGTCGTAATTAAGCTAAAATAATCAAATAAATGTAATGATTCTGCAATTCAGATAAGGAAACGTCTTTATCTCCAAATGTTTTCTGTGGTATTTTCAAGCATGGAACTGAGGTTTTTCTTACACGTTTTTGTCATTTACACTGCATTTAAATGTACAGTACATGGTGGTGTGTGTGTGGGTGGGGAGTAATTTTAGTAACATTTAATAGTTGAAAAGAATATGTAATTAATAGATCAAAGTAATTATCAAGACACTAAAAAAAGCTCTATGCGGCGAAACGTCCCATGCTTCAAACCCTAATACAATTACCATCTGCTTTATTTTGGACTGTAAGGTTATATTCTACAAGAGTTAACTCCATTTTAGAATGTGGAAAAATGTGAGAAAAATGTAAAAATCAAGCTTTAAACATTATAAAACACTTTTTGCTTTTTAAACCAGTTTAAGAATTGATTTGATGGCTAAATGAAAAAGAATTGAATCCAGGTGTGTGCACACCTATACTCACCTGACTGGGCCTGAGGAAGTTAAGGCTAATGTTGGGGTAACGCGTGGTCGGATCCACGCTGTACTGACTGAAGTTCTTACTGACATTTTCTGAAGTCGTCTGAGGCAGAAGTCTGTATATGCTCTCCCTAAAGCACAGAACAACACGTTGAAATCTTTTCTTATTATCTGATCTCAGCCCATTAACAAACCATTAAAGGAAAGCAAAGATAGATGTTACACAACTGAGGAGTCACATTCCATTCAGGACATATGAGAGCCTTTTATCCCATTAGTAAAAAGAGAGGTGGTACTGAAGCTTTAAATCATGCACGGTTACAATTCCTAGTAAAGCACTTAGAGATAAAAGAGTGTGTCTGAAGAGGCAGATTAGGAATGTGTGTGCCTGGCCGTGGGTCAGTGTATAAATGTTAGGGCAAGAACAATGTTACTCTTGGCACATGTGTATCAGTCATCTGCACCTCTCAGCCAGAACCTCCAAAGGCGTTTTTCCCTGGGCCCAGCTCTTCACCATCCAACCGGAGTCCATGGCTGCCAGAAAACCTCGCGCAATGCCGGTGCCCATGGGCCAGAACGGCTGGAGAGAAAAGCACATTCATTTACCAAATATGATCAAAACCAGAGCAAAGGGTATTAAAAGAAACATCATTTTTAAGTAAAACAAAGTTAAAGTCTCTCCACCCCACCCCAAATATGTCCTTAGGAAAAATCCTCACCTCTAAAAGGCTGTCGCCCACCAGCGCCACCAGCAGTTTATGGCCATGGCGCTGGCGCACCATTGCTGCGTTCTCCGAAGCATACATGCAGGTGAAGTCGAACATGGCTACATCAGGCTGGCCATAGTGGTTGATTGCAAAGTCCAGTGTGGGTAGCTGGTGGTTGGTGGAGAAATCTGCAGCCTCACGTGCGTAAGACAGCAAGGCAGCCTGGTCTACATTAGCTCTGGAAAGGAGGAGCTCAGTGTCTGCATAGTCCTGCAGGGGAAATGACAGAACAGAAATTGCCAGGTTAACAAGAAAAAAGAAAAAAAAAACAGTTGGGAGATTCCAGAAGATTCAGGCTCCATTAGGCCATTTTTTGGAGCACTTCACACGTACAGGAAGCCACTGTGAGTTAAAGCCTAACAACCGTTTTGGGATTCTCTGTGCCAGACAGGCTATGTTTCTTTGTTTTCTTTCTTTTTGTAAATTTCTTGTTTTATTTTTCCATCTCTTCTTTATATCTTTTTCCCTCTATGTTCTTGTAATTGTTGTTTCTTTTTCTTTTATGTAAACACTAAATATTTTAAAAAACCTGATGCTGTAAAGACATAATATGCTATGATAGTTAGATGCTTTTTAAAACTACTGCTTATGTTTGTTTGGTGGCACTCTGAACTCCGTCTAGATCCCTGTGAAGGTAGATTAGTTGGGATGCAATCACAAAAAGGCTTTCTGCACTAATTAATGCCTGTCAGCATCATCTTATCATTCACTAGTTAAGCTGATATTACTCCACCTTTCTGATTTAATTAAGCCACAGTTGCTTCAAAGAGGAGCAGTGGATGAATCATTCTACTGTGATCCACAAAGGTTGATTTAAAAAAATAATGGCCAAAAAGTGAGAATATTACTACCTTTCATCAGCATCAAAACAGCCTTTAAGATCTTCAGATGGGAGGTAAGAGTTTTTGTGAATAGCTCACCAAAGAAGGTCCAGCAGGAGATATTTCTTAAATGAAATACGGCTAAATAATAGGTTACACTAGTGCAGAGCGTTGCTCAGCTGCAGAAGCTTCAGCAGGAAGTGTAACACTAATGGTGCGTTCACACCAAATGCGTTGTGGAGATAAAAAAAATGTTTCAATGCCAAAACTTGGATCCTGGGTCAAATCTTGGTTAAGAGGCTTCAACTCTTCGAAGCTCAATGCTTTGGTCTGTTCTGTAGTTACTAGCTAGAGAGCAGCTTGGCTTGACTTTAATTAGTTGGCCAAAAAAGAATTTCACACGTTTTTTAAGCCACCTCAAAACATCATATGTACAGTCAGTTCATCTGGATTCTGATCCTACTAAAATAATCTGTTCTTGTTCAGAGCAGCGGAACCACGCCGCTCATACCGGCAGGCGACAACGCTGGGACTCCCCAGTGAAAGCGCTCTGAAGCCGATGTAGGTACCAGATCTGCTTGGGTGGTCAGATCTGCTCGGGCCCTGCACATGCCAGTGACGTTGCGCCATATGATTGGCTGAACATTGTTACATGATGTAAAACATTGTGGATGACTAGACAACACTAATGACATCCATGTGCCAAGTCGGGACCATCTCTAGCGTTAGCTTGTCTAATGATCAATCAAGTTTTACCTGATTGATAACGAAACTGAAATATGTTTATGTCGAAGTAACTGCAAGACTATAACATAAAGGGGGAGAACAGGGTAGCGCCGTGGCTAGCCGTGCTCAGTAGCTTAGCTCTGTCGCTTAGCCATATTAAGCTACAAAACTTTTAACTACATGTCAACAACAACCCTTTCATTTCTACAAGTAGAATAACTGTTTTCGTTGTCTAAAACCTCTACGAAAGTCATTTTTAAAATGTTCAATTTGTCCTCCCCTGCCCTCAGATCCTAATTAAAATAATAAAAATGGCAGAGCTCAGTCTGTCTTAGAACTCAGTGCTTTCCTTCAAGACTGAGTTTGATTGTTTTCTTCTTTTGGCGACTTTAGATTGCCAATGAAATGTAAAATAATTGAAAGAGATCTGTTCTTAAGAAACTGGTGTAATACAGTTTGTCCGAGTGGAGTTGCCATATAATGACTTGATTGACGTCATAAGAAGGGTCAGGGCGCTGAGCAAATCTGCATGTTTTCACATGGAGAAAGATTTGCAGTAGCGATCACGGCTTGCATATAGTCTCTCCCAAAAATCTCCTGGATTGGCTTTCTGATTGGCTGATACTCAGATGCTTAGATGCCCAGATGTGCCACTGCCGATGCTAGGACACGCCATAAGACCTATCGACGCTGTTTGACGCCACCCCCCATAGACTTTGCATGTAAAGCAGATGGTTTGAGGCTCTCAACGCGTTTGGTGTAAACACTCCTTTAGACTTGGAAACTGGTTTCAAGAGGCGAAGCTCCCTTATTGAGTGATGCAGCAGTTTGGCTTGCTATTTATTATCCAACTGTAGAAACAGACACCAGTCAATAATTAAATATTTTCACCTCTGCTTTGGTGGCATAAGCTAAACTAGTCTTAACATGTAGCATCATAATTTTGCATGCTTTCAAAATGACATGGTTTTACAGAGGGAGGAACATTTTTCCATCTGTCTGAAGGGTTCTCCTGTGATCCTGGTGGTTAAAGGAAAGGGCGAGGCAGTGGAAGATGCTACACCCAGAACACCTAAAGCAGGCATGCCCAAAGTCGGTCCTTGAGGGCCTGCAGGTGTTCGAGGTTCCCCTGCTCCAGAACAGCTGGTTTTAATTGATAGCTGATTAACAGGATTTACGTGATGATTTAAGTTATGGTTATTGGCTCATTACAGCATTATTAGTCATTCATTGTGTTAACAGCACCATGAAATAATTGTATTGTATTGCTTTATTGTGAAAAAGATTCTTGTGAATTTGCTGACATGACATATTCTTAAGATTAAGCTGTTGATCAAAACTGATTTATTGAAGTTAATGTTTTTATTTGATTCTTTTCAGTCAGAAATAATTTCCCTTATTTCATCCATCTGTTCTAGATTTGATTCTGTTCTCTTTTTATTGAATCCAGCTGAAATAACTGTTTGGACTTCCATCCCTTTCAAGCAATAAAGCACAGTTGATAACCTGACAGGTAACAGTTTAGTGAAAAAACTTGATCACAACTACCTCAGGCAAATGTTTAAAGAACTCCTCAGATCCAGACTCGACCCACACATGCACATTGCGTAAGCATAAGAGCAGAAATGAGGCTGAGGACTGCAAGAAGTACTGCCATACCGCAGACATCGTTTGGACCAAGGCACGGTTTTGTCTGCACATGAAGACGGGCATTTAAAAGGCCTTTCCTGTTTCCTGTGGAAAGTGCCCAGAGACAGGAAGCTACCGTGTATAGTGAGGACATCAGCACTCAAGAGACTGCTTGAGCTGGCAGGCTGCTCCACTGTTGGCTCTGTCTGACCATTAAACCAATGCTTGGCGAAATCAAAAAGAATAAAGACGAAATAATGAAAGAGAATCGCTGGAAAAGAAAAACCCTCTAAAGTGACATCATTCTGAATGTGATTGTTTCTGTGTGTACGCCGCTTTTATGTCAGCTAAAGAGGAGCGGAATGAGACCCAACAGTTATGACACGGAGAGCACCACACTGAGCGCCGGGCTTTGATCACTCACATGCAGAATGACTCCTTTCTCCAACAGGCTCTGTTTTTTGGCAGTCATCACAAAGTAATGTGTGTCATCCTTGTAGTACACAATATTTTCCAGGTCAATACCTAAAAAGACAAAAACAAAAAAAGATGGATTGTCAGAAACAGAACACAATTCTCTAGCTTACTGTCAGAGCTGCCCGTCCTGTCATCGTTTCAGGACGGAAGCAGCAATTATGGGATTCGGAGCACCGGGAACATTGTCAAGTCAGCAATAACCCGACAGGAAGGCTGGCATTGGACTCAAGAACTCTAAGAAAAACCAATTAAATGAATGGAATACTTCTGTGTGTGTGTGGTCTGAGTTCACCGAGGACTACTGTGAGCAACATCAGATGATCACACCACACACAATGTTAAAACAGTTTTACAGGTTCAATACAAACTTAAACAGCTTGTTAAAAAAATAGGAGATTACAGCAGCAATTTTCATTAGTTTGCTTTTTATTTAAATGATCGGGCCCACTTATAATTAAAAAACAAAAAGCTTGTTGGTCATGAGACGTTTAGTAAGTCATATGTAAAAGTCTTGCTTTGCCCAGGGCGGGGGTCCCGCTCCTGAAGAGATGAGACGCTACACCGTTCAGGCATAACTTTTTGTTAAGATTAAGAGTTTCTACTAACATAAAAAAAAATAGATGTAACTAAAATATGAACCAATCTAACTTAAATTTGGTCTACTTTTCAATCTATCCTTCTAACCTCTGCAATAGTCCTCTAGATATGCCTTTTTAAGAGCGTTCTGTTGCTGTTTAGATAATATTCATTAAACTAAATCTTCTCTCACAATCAGCACTGGATGCTTGAAATGCAGCACAAATATCTTTAAGAAGTGAGATCAGCTTTAGCTCCCCCAAAAAAAGTCACATAAGAGTAATGCGATGTGAATGCACACGGTTAACAGGTTCTTCTTAAACTTTGTGCATGCTGGATAGCAGGGACAACACAAACCAGTGAATTTCACTGTTCTGGATCATTTGGTCCGCCGCATATTCATCTTACTGTGGAATTATTAATTTATGCATCTGCAGCTCTCTTTGTTGTGCTGAATAAAGACATTTGCTTTTTAAAGGACACTCACATTTTATTAAACATATTCATCCAAATACAACTTCTAAATGTGTTGGTTTTTATTAGAAAACTTGTTTGATAGTAAAAGTTCAAACAGGGACTGAAGAGCAGGTCATAAACCATAAAGCTGGCTTGTGCACCCAGTATTCATCAGTCTAAAGTAATTTTTTATACAGATCAATAATACAAGATGATATAGGAGATGAAAATGAAATAAAAATTATATGAAAGTAGTCCATTAAAAGTTACATTACATTTATTGGAGCAACAGCACTTTTAAATTGGATGTTTGGCACATATGACAAAAAGTTTAGATAGCACTAGCTTAAACCAAGCCATATTCATGTGATACCATGGCCTAGTCAAAGTCCAGAGCTAAATCACATTGAATCAAACTGAGCTTCAGCTATTCTGCAAAGAGGAAGAATCATTTCAGTGTACTGATTTGTGAGTTGAACCATTAGTAATGATAATGTTCAATCAACAAGGGTTCAAATGTACGCTTTCCTTGCAGAGAGTGTTAAAAACCTTCATTCCACTTTAGTATTATAAAGGAGTTTGTATTTGTCTATGTTTTTATTCTGTCATTTAGTTTTGCAGAGGCCCGGTCAAAGACCATTCATTGGATCCAGGTGTTTTGGGATGGGATGCAGATAAAGTTTGCAGGATTAAAGATTTTGAGGATTGGACTTGGGCACCACTATGTTACAACCCTAAAGACAGAGGCTGTAACATGAAAAAAGTTGAAACGTTTTCCAGATATTTCTAATAAAACTTCTATGGTATCAAGATTTATTTTGCATTTCATCTGTAAATCCCGCCCAAAATCCAGGGTGGAATTTCAAACTGCAATCACGTCCATAGTGGCATTGGTCAGAAGAATTACACCGAGCTCACACTAAACACGGTAGGCTGCTGTGCAGGTGCCAATTCACTAAAATCAATGTGCAAGCTCATAGCAGCCAAGGTGCAGAGCGGGTGCGGTTACTGAGGCCTTGCAGATTAAGAAATTCTCTCTTAAGCATGAGGGAAGTTTAAACAGACACTGCAGTAGTCTTCACAAAAAGCTCCAAACACCAAATAGGAAGTTCCAGTGAATTTCAAAATAAAATCAACCAACCAACCAACGCCTACTTGATAAGAAGGCGGACTAGAAACAGAGGGCTACTAGATGATGAAAAGGGATAATTATGTCCACCGATAACATGTTATGCTCAACAACTCCTGAAAAGAGCATGATTCCATGTCTTTTTTTCCTCTTAAGCAAATCTGGAGCAGTAGCTGGGCAAATGACTTTCTACATTGCAGCCGTACCGCTAAGAGTGTGAGTCCACGTTATTCAATCAGGCCATTTCCACTCATAGAAAAACAGCAAGAAATGCCTGTAGGATGCAAGCCAGGCAGAGCTGAACTCACCTGTTGCCTCCCTGAGATCTTGAAAGAACTTCTGATTGAAGATGAAGGCCACACCGCTGATCTCCTCCACCTTCGCTTCTGCCGTTGTGTTCCTGTTGATGAAATTGGCGGTGATGGCGATGGCGAGCTTCCCCCGGAACTCCTTCCGTCGAAATCCTGTAGAAACAGAAGAACTAATGAGATCAGCAGCCTGGGCTAATGGACACCAACAGTTACAGAACAGATTAACATTTCAAAAGGAAAATATAGCACTGAATTAGAGCAACTTACTGCCTCTAGAACAAATAATCCATGCCGTACCATTTAATTGTGGCCAGATTTTCTGTATCTGAACAATGTAAACAGTTTCCAGTTGTTCACACTGTATTCACGTAATTGGACCTCTCAAAGGGAGGATATGGATTCCTTTTATAGGGTTTAGAGCTCAGTTCTGGAGAAAGGCATCATGGTTCTCTGCCACAAAGCTTAGAGTAGAAACAGACAACTAGATCACCCATTCCTGTTCTCTTGTTCACAACAGGTTTAATGTTGCTGCTAAACACAAACAAACGTGCATCCAGATGTGCACAAACGCTCATTCACACATAAAGAGCAGAGTGAGGTCAGCCTTCCTTCTGCAGCTGTAAATGAGTGACATAATGATCGTATGTGACTCAAGCGTCTAAGTGGGAACAACAGGCAGAACTGTTTGGGCCTTGCGATGTTTAGTTAAAGGAAGAAAAAAAAAATACATTACGAATGTTCTTCCTCCAGCCCGTGCATGCAAACTTGCCTGGTAGTGTGTTTCTCCTTCCATCTGCTCCAATGATGACATCAAACTCCAGCTCGTTGACAGGGTGTGTCTTAGGGTGGACCTCAGCCCTCCAGCCTATCCCTGGGAACACACGGCATGTGTAACCAGACAGAAATGCATCCTCAGTGCCAGGTTTGCAGCAGCTGAGAGATATTTGTTTGATGAAAGCAGTATTCTCTTCTCGGCCGGTTTCCTGCAGCAGATTAAATCACTTACTCTCAGTCTCCTGGTCTTCAGGGGGTTCAATAAGACCCTTGAACTCTACGTTGACGTGGATCTCTATTCCCAGCAGCAGGGCCATTTTCAGCAGCATTAGCTGAAGCTGACGAATACCTAAAAAAAAAAGAGAAAGTGGTGAGATTCAAACCGAATAACTTAACTAATTGGAAACTAAAGGAGCAACATCAGAAGCAGCAAGATTATGGTCTGAACTCACTGATATGATCGATAGCACCAGCGCAGAACTTCCCATAGAACTTCTTGGCTCCAAGGCCCCTGAGGTCGTGGATGGTGAAGGGCCAAAGATGCAGCACGTTGTTTCTGGAGAACGCATCCCTCTTCTCCAGGAGGACCACTCTGGCCCCCAGGAAAGCAAGCTCGATGGCTGTGCGTAAACCGCATGGCCCCGCACCAATGATCAGACACTGAAACCACAGGATAATTTAAACAGAGATCCGTTCTCCTAAACCTGGCAAGTCACATAAATAATGTGAACTCACTCTGAGCAGAACCTTCCAAGCTGATTGGACGAAAAAACAACTAGTGTACGCCTACCAAATTTGGTTTTAGCCAATCATAGCAATAAAGAAGGCTATAATATGTCCAACATGGCTTGTAGGAGAGATGCCAACATGCAGGTTCTTTTAGCCTACATGAAAAACCTTACTTTGATGTGTTCACAGCATTATCACCACTGAGAAGCATAGCAGTGGCAGCATCATGATGTGGGGATGCTTTACTTTAGGCTTAATAAACCATAGCTTGAGCTAACTTTGGAATGATTCTTAAGAAAAAATGAACGTACAAAATTGGAGACGGCTGAAGACTTTATTTCAGGTTGGAGATAAAGTTTCCAGGAGGAGAAACACCCTAAACACACAGATCGATTCAGGTGATGGGTTTCAAACTCCAGGCCTACAGAGTCCTGCTAATGACCTGATCATGTCAAACAGGCTGCTAACAGGATTACATCTGAAGGTAGCAGGAGACTGGCCCACCAAGGACCACTGTTTAACAGCTAAAGCTTAGTTTGAAGAATTTTACGTGTTTTTCAACTTAAATCTGTAACAGCACCTAAAAGCGGATGTTCAAGGCCAACCCAGGTCTGAGTCTGAGATACTGTGCCATAAAGAATGAGTTAAAATCCAAGTCAGTAGATGTGTGAATCTGTCAGAGAGACTTGTAGCTTTAACTCTAAACTATTAAACCTAAAAAATACTGCATTACCTTCTAACAAATATATGATTCAAAGTTTTGTGCTATTGATGTGACAGAATGTGAAGAAGGTCAAAGCACTCTTAATCTTTACCAGTACAGTTCCAGGTGATCTGTTAGCATGAGCTGCTAATCTAAAATAACCAATAAAAAGTAGATATCTCAGTCAAGCTGTCTTCCCATCCAGAGCATGGACTTGTTGCTTTGTCGTCCTGTCTTCCCACAATGATCTGACTCCCAGTCTCACTGGGAACAGGAGACGCCCGTGGATGCTTTACATGACCGATCAAGTTTCCAGTGAGGCAGGCTTACCTTTGTGTTGGCACAGGCACGTCCCTTCTTGTACTCCTTCTGGCCGGCCCTCTTGTCTAGCTTAGCCCAGAGCGCCTTCGCCTTCCAGTAGTTAAGTTTGGACTTGAGCTTGTGATAGAAGATCCTGTGCTCGGTGGGCTTCACTTCCAGATGTTCACAAAACTCCTGGAAGGCCTTAAGGGTGCCTTTACACGTGGTCGCCTGGACAAAGTTGTCAAACAGGACATGGGATCGGTTGATCCCTCCGGTTGCACTGGTCCCTCCATCCCCCATGGTCCAGACCCACTAAGGGCTGTGAGGGCCCTTCACCCCCACCTGAGGCAGGGGGCCAGCCCCAGCTCTGTACCAGCTTCCCTCAGGTGGAGGAGGGCTTTAACTCCCAGCGCCAAGCATCTTCATTCTAACAAAGACGGGGAGAGAAAAAGGAGAGATTTAATCAAAAGGAAAAACATACAAGCAAAACATTACAACAAAACTTTAAGGGTTCTGCATTCTTTTCTATTGGATCAAACCAAAATAAGTAGAACGGTAAAACATAATTAAGCCCTAATCACTGTCATAATATTAGCCATCTACCAGTGGATGTACAGGTGTCCAAACCTGTGGCAGTTTTAGAGGCTGCGTCTTTATCCAAATAAGCAACAATATCACATTATAATGCTTCAAAGTGACAGTGCAAATGTAGCACTGCCCCTCCCCTACCTGTTGCTGCACAATGTCAGCTGGTTAATTAGATTACCTATGTACAATTACTGGTCTCCTGCAACACATTTATGGTGTGTAAACAAAAAAGGTCAACTGGGTACCTGCAGTCGGGCAACCAGAGCAGTTTATTCGATATTTTTACTTCACGTTATGGTAAATTACAATTTTAAATGCAAAGAAGTGAAAAAAAAAAATAAATTAAATTAAAACCATTAGCGTAACTTCAAACTCAAACCCAAACTGACTTATGAGAAATGGTTGTAGGTTTTTCTTAAAAAATGCCTTAGATTACATCTTACTTTTTAATTTTTTTTTTTTTTTTTTTTTTATTTCCACCCAATCAGAATCCCAAACAAACAAACAAACAAACGCTAAAAGCATGATAACAACTTGAGCTTCATTTTTTTTTTACATGAAATCAAACCATTTAGTTTCTGTCCATGAGAGGCAAAAATCAAACTTTACAATTTTGCACTATTCCACACAACAAGAACAGATTGAAATAAAAGGCATGTCAGAAGGTGTTTTAATTGAATCAATGAAACCATAAATAAACCTTAACTTTGCCTGAGCCACGATGCAGGAGGCTGGTTAGGAAAGATAACACACTTTAGGTAATTCTGAGAGAAAACTTGAAACTTTAAAACAAAATATTGGACAGAGCCATGGCATTCAAGCTTCAGAATGTGAAATAGGAAGTAAACAGGTGGATGGGTTTAGGGATATGTCTTAGTTAAAAATTGACTTTATACAAAGAACTTTTCAGCCCAAACCAAAAAAATGCCAGAAGCAAACGACTGGAGCGAAGACAACAGACTATGATTAACAATGTGCCTCCCCATAAGAAGCCCTCATGCACTATTTTAAACATGCAACAACATGCTGCAGTTAATGCTTATGTTTTCAACTTTTTAATCCTCACAGAGAGACAAGATCATTCACGTTCTCTGGTATGTGTGGCTTTTCTGATATTTCTACTACAACTTGATGAATGTTCTGTCTAACTCTGAATGTTGGACAGAAAAATGCACCAACAGAGCATTTAAATTGAAAAGTGCATAGTGAAGCTGGCATTTAAATTAAGGAAAGAAAGACAAAACAACAGGGGCAATGATGGCTGAAAAAAGGAGTGATGATCACAGTTCAAAACAGGCAGCAGTTCTGCTTTGTATGCAGCCCCTCGGGGATGGAACAGAAACTCGCCCGGCTTGTTTCAAGTTCAAATTGTTAAAAAAAATAAAAATAAAAAGTGCTTAATTTAGTACAATTATGGTATGTGATGAATAAAAAAAATGCAAGTCCAGATCAGTTCTAATCATCAAATAAAATTCATATGATTTGGAATTAAGTAATCATTTTAAATTAAAATACAAAAACAGAATACTTGCTCATTTTAGGGGAAAAAGTAGGATGAAAAAGTAGAGTGATGCAACGGACTGGTTTATCACAAAAGAAGATAAAGAAAGAAAGAAACATTTATGGTTATTTAAACCTTGTCTAAACTCAAATAACAGCAAAGAAAACCTCAGATTGTTATTCTCAGTTATCTGTTCACTGATGAGGAAATGAGGTTTCCTTCTAATCATCTGCACAGTGCAGTTTGACAAACAGCCAAATGGTTACAAAACAAACTGACCCACTTCTCTGAGGCAGCTTTGCATTCTAAATGTCCAGCAGGTTAAGCTAGTTCATGTCAGCTAATGTAGTTGCAGTCCTGGCTTGGAGTTGTGATGAAAGTACAACAGGTACAGAGGTCAGACGGCCTCCTTTTCACACGCTGCCAACTCCTCACTGCAGTGAAAACAGCCAGCGGGCCAATAGTTTGGATCCGTCTGCCCCCTCCGAGGGCCACAAAATCAAAATCAACACTTTTTTGTTTAATATTCTTTCTTTTAATATTTGTTCTTTTATTCCTGGTAACAATAACTCACGAAAAGCACTTCTCTACTCCAGATTAGAGAAAACCAACACAGGAGGCGACAGTAAATATACTCAAGATGGATTAACCCTTTTAACATAATGCCAACAGCCAAGAAATTAAAGAAAATGCACATTGCACATCACAGAGATATATTTTTGATCTATTCCTAAACACTGGCCGTGTAGGAAGTTCCCAGTTCGAAAAACCATTGCAAATAAAAATACATAATTTTGAAAAAGTACAAAATATCATATAGATACATTTAGAAAAGGAAGCTTAAGAGTAACAAACAAGCAGTGACAAACGATTCCTTGATTTAACAACACTGACAGCAACACTCTTCAGTGTGGATGTTATTACAAACAGAATAAGAAGAATCAAGTTGAAATGTTTCAAATGCAGACTGTGAGGGAGGTAGACTTTCAGCAGAAGTAAGGAGAGGTAGGTGGAGAACAGCAAATGTGCTCCGATAAGCGATGTCCAAAATAATTAGCTCTCTGTCTGGACTATTTCTCTTCTCTCTTCTGGATTTGGAAATGTTAACGACCTATTAGAAATCCCACGAGGTGCATTATGACTGAGATCAGGGATGTTCTTGTAGGCTTATGAATTACCAGGGAAAACACCATTCCAGAGGGAAATCTGGAGAAAATCAATCTGCAATTTTCACAGTTCCTGTCACTAATAATTGATAAACTTTTGTCTCTTCTAAATTCTACATGATCTTTATAATTATACTTTTTACTCTGTGTCCAGTTAACAGCATGTTGTGTTTTACTTGACTGAATAATAACAAATAAAGTTTGACTGATAAACCTTCAGACATGCTTATTCTGAGCACATGAAGGAAGAGGAGATGGAATTACCAACATGTTTAAGGATCCTGCTTCTCCGACAGGTTGCTGTAATGTAATGATAGCCTTCTGACTCAGACAAACATTGACTATTAAAAACATGACCTATAATTTAAAGAACAGGAGTCTGGCGAACAGACACACACAACAGGAGAGGAACATAATACCTTTCTGTTAGGTGAATAGGACAGAAGGAGCGAGTCCTACTGCCTTCAGAAAAACTAACATCCAATCAAACGGTTTTATATGACAGAAGATATCTAATGCACGTTGCATCGTTGTCAGATCCAGATTTCTCTCTTGATATGCTGCAGGATTTCACACATCCTAACCATTCACTGAGGAATTGCACACATCCATGCTAGCCTTCATTTGCAGCAGCGACCGCCCCCTCCTCTGTATGCATGCACACACAAACATTCTCGTCTGCATGTAGAGTGAACCATGTGTTGATTCCTATCTATTTTCAGTCAATTTAAACCCTCTCTCTGCTCTAACCACAACAATAACCCTTAACCTAAACATTCCCAGAACAAACCTCACCCTAAACCTTAGCTCTAAAGCTAACTGTTATCAAAATAGCTCTGCAGGACCACTCTTTGCAACAAGCGGTTCTCAATTTGATGGTGAAATTCGAAAAATGGTCCTCACTCTGATGCTGAGACAGGAGCACACACACATCAACAGAATGCCTTTACTTCTGTTGGCTGAATTGCATCATCCCCAAACCTAAAAATAGAGCCAGAGATTAGGCCAGGAGGACGCACGTTTCACATGGCAGCGCC